TGGATTAACGGTTGATGCTTATAAAAAAAACTTGAGGTATCCGAAACCAAACACATGAATGCGTGACATAGTTGGCCCAATTTGATATTAGAGCCAGTTATCCTTATTTTGTTTTCTATCTGTACAAAACATATTGCAGAAATCTAACATATAAAAATGCATATAAGGTATAAGGTCATGAAACACTTTATATTATAATTTAATATATATTACATGTGTTTATTTGTCTACCATTAACAATGTAAAAAACTGTTTTCTTCCTCTTCTTTTTATGGCGAAGAAATGAAGCAGCCGCAAAAGCAGTTTTTTTGCTAAACTATGAAATAAGGAACACTACTTAGAAATCATTTGAAAAAATATAGCTAATACGAATAAATGATAACACAACCACATCATAATCACCGGCAAAACAAAAAAGTCAAAAAGGGCCATATAACAGTCGGAGGAAAAAATTATGGACCATTTATTTGATGACCCCAAGTTGTTGACATAAGCTTGTCCGTGCGGAATCAATCATTTATAGAGAAATATAATTGTACAAATTTGACAAAACTGGCCAACTTGTAGATTTATATGATAAATTTGATTGTAGAAGTGACCTAAACTCGAGTGATTTGGAGAAGAAATAGATGGATGCTAAATCTATATGGCAAATGTGTGGTCACTGAGGTCTACCAACATCAACCAATTATGGTATATGCCAAAAGTTTTAACAACTGAGTAATGTGCAAGAAATTCTATGGTTTTTACAAACAGAAATATGATTTAGAAATTCAATTAACATCAGATACTATATATAGAAGATTGTATTACATAACTGCATTACATATCAACTAACTTTAAGTAATGCATAATTCTATGAATATATCAGCATCATATTCAAAGATTTTACATGTAGTATTCTTGCCCCTTTTCCGATATAGAGAACACAAACACCTCAACAGTTCATCCCTGAAATTAAAGAAGAACAATCAAGAATCACAATGCATGGAAGTTGTTCCGTGATAAAACAAATAGTGCACCGGATTAATGGTTGATGCTTTTGAGCAAACTTGAGGTGTCCAAAACCAAACACATGGATGCGTGACATGGTTGGCTGAATCCGATATTGTAGTGACTTATCCTTTTTACTATTCTTCCTGAACAAAAGATCTTGGAGGTAACTAACATACAAACAAAAAATCCAGAAAAGGAACACAATCATGAAACACTTTATTGTATAATTTCATTTATATTATGGGAGTTCATTCGTCTACCATATATAACATAAAAAATGTGTTTGCTTCCTCTTTTATGAAAAATAAGTCAAGCAGCCACAAAAGCAAAGAAAATTTGTCTTCATAAAAAAAATGGTGAACACTACTGAGAAAGCATCTGGAAAAAAATCCAGCTACTACTAATAGATGATAACATAACCAGATCATTCACGTTCTTACGCTTATGGAAGCCTATTTGTAATTATTTTCTATCATATTGTAGATATCCACCCTATACATGCAGTTAGCAATTATACGTGGCAATGGAGGCAAAACAAAGGAATAGAACATGAGAAAATTAAGATCTTGCCTTGAATTTGCTGGGCTCCTTGCTGTGCAGCGTGAGCATGTGTGAGCTCAAGGTCAGCCTCTTGTCCCACCGGGGCTCCCAGGCCCAAGCCAGTGTGCAGCCCTGCACCGACGTCTCATACGTCGTCCTTGAAACTGGTGCGTTTTGCTGCCGGACAAAAATGTAGGCCGAGCTGTTCAACAAAATCAATTAGCCCAGGCTATCGTAACTCCGTTTGTTTCCGGCCGGTGGAAAAGGTAGCTAGTATTAGATGGAATCGATCAGCGGCCTGCCTCAAAGCGCATGCTTGTGCGCCCCAACAAATCAAACCAAGCATGTATTTTTTTTCAAAATAAATAAATTGCCAAGCATATATGGTCTGCCTCAAAGCAAGATCATATATCTGTGTCCCAAAATAAGTCAAGCATGTACGTGCTCTTGCGCCGGCGCTGGCGCCGAGCAGATGTGCATGTAGTCTTGATTAGAGGCCTTCAGATTAGACGCCAATATCATAAGAGCCAAGCATGTATGTCCTACCTCCAAGCAAGATCGTATACATGTGTGTCCCAACAAATCAAGTCAAGTATGTACGAGCTCTTGTGCCGGCACCGTCGCCGTGCAGTTGTGCATGTAGTGCCGACTAGAGGACTTCAGATTAGATGTGAACATCATGCAGCCACGCTAGCTCACGATGGGAAAGACCAGCATGCAGTCCCGCATGGGAGGCCGTCCAGTCCAGGCTGCACGTCTTCCTCAAGGCCGTCCATCATGAAACTTGAAAGTTGAGGATGACATGAAGAGGACGGCGCTAGGGTTTCTACAGGAGGCTTATGTTTCTCTGTGGAAGAGATCATCATGGGAGATATTGCTTTCCATCACACGTGCAAGAGTTTGGTAGAAAACGTAATTTGTATAGTTTGTTTATTTATAGCGACCCTACGTTGTTTTTTTCTTAGATTGCAATGATTACATCGGTTGGTCTGCATCATTATAACCCGGTCCCATCAGATGGACGGCCAGTAATTTTTAATTAACGTGGTAATTTTTGGAGAGTTTGTAATTAGTATAGGTATAGATAGATAGATAGATATAGATATAGATATAGATAGATAGATAAGATATAAGATATAAGATTAGTCACACAACATTCTACCAGATGCCTCACAAAGCATTACAAGAGTGACAAATAACTCAACAACACCAATGGATCGGCATCACACATATTAAAATTACCAAACCACATACACTACAAGACAGTACACGACAACAAGCAAGCAGCACACACAAGGCTAGCTCTAATTATCATTTTTAGACGACGACTCAACTAGTTCTTGGTGGCACGGCAGCTAGGATCCCTGCAGTCACCGAGCCTACACTGAGATTTCATTGGTGCACCAGATGTACCAGCAGTCAGTCTTGAACACGGTTGCGCACATATGGGCCCAATCAGTGTCGCTGCCACATGCGCGTGTGCAACTATTGGCTAGCATATTGCATTTGGTCATGCAATCAATTGGATGCCCCATGGCGAGGACGAGTAGGGCGGAGAGGACCGCAACCACGAGGGCGATCTTGAGAGTGGAGGCCATTTGATCGAGATATATAAGAGCAAGAAGGTGTAAGATGGATGAGAAGAAAAGGCAAGATGGAGATGCTATTTATAGGTGGGCCGTTGATCGATCACAATCGAGCAAGCTGCTACTAGTAGCTAGGGCTTCGCTGCCCATGTTACGCATCACGTTCTGGGCTTCATTCAACTAGATGGTCAATAATCGTCCATGCAACTTGCTTCCGTATCTTTCAAGCCTCGATCCTGAATTAATGTGTCGCATGCTATAATAGACTTGGAGAGAATATCAGCTCGTTCTCCAGGCCTTTTGTTCCAAGTTTCAACTCGACGCGCATCAGTGTGCGGGCGTTGGCGTTCATCCAGATGCGACGACGGTTCCTTCTCTAGTTTGTTGGGCGTTCAGACCGGTGCTTGATTGACTTCCCAACTACGAAACAAACAAGGTATGCCACGGTCCGGCTGCGGACTGACCGTGTTGACGGCAATGTCATCAACAATCCATCCTAGAAACAAAGCTCGATCGCTTCCTTCTTGTTCAAGGCTTGTTCGGTTAATCCCCACCACGAGGGGTTTGGAGAGGATTGGAGGGGTTTGAGATGGATTTTGACTTGCTGGGGATTTATTCCCTTACAATCCCCTTCAAACCCCTTGAAATTTTGTGAAACCGAACAAGGCCTCAGGGATCTGCTGCAATTTTGATTTTGTGTTAATCTAGGGTGTTGAGCACTTTCCTGAATAGGGAACTACTAACATGTTATGTTTAGCAGAACAAGGTCACTCAGTGCAACATTACGTAGGAAAAAGATGAAGATATGAAGGAAACGGAGAGATAATTTCGCCATATTTTTATAGATAGTCTTTTGAAATGCAAAATAAAGTGTTATCTTTGTTAGCATAATCTTGAATAGTGTCAAGTCCAAGTAGTATTTGTGTTATACTAGGAAGTATTAGACGTGTTATGTTAGGTCTACATGGTGATCAGCGTGGCCGTGTAATTAGGTAATATACAGTACGTCAGAGTCCTAGTATTAGATGGATTAGGTTAGCTAGTTCGTGTACTAGCAGGAGTCCGGTTTAGGACTTGTACGTGTCCACACGTTTAGCAGTCTTGTATACGCCTAGGTTTTGGGTCGGTGCTCGTGCATATATATATATATGCACAGTACCACGTGAAGTTGTATCAAGTCGTGGAGTTGAGACAAACAGAAAATAAAGAGAATCAAAGGGCACGACAAGAGCCCTTGGTTATCAGTTTTCGTGTGCGCGTGTTCGTCGTGATTTGATGTGATCGATCCTGTGGGAGAATTTCCAACAATCTTTTGGAGCATGCTAAGCGTGGTCTGGCTAACACGCGGATCAGATC